GCCGTCTCATCTCCCCCAGAGATGAGCCCCACCACGGTGGTATCATCTGCAAACTTGATGACTGCGTTGTCTGGGTGGGTACTAACACAGTCATGTGTGTACAGAGTGTACAGTAGGGGACTCAGTACACAGCCTTGTGGAGAGCCGGTGTTAAGGCTGAGGGCTGAGGAAAGATGAGGCCCCACTCTAACTCTCTGTACACGGTCTGAGAGGAAGTCTCTGATCCAGCGGTAGGTGGTAGACGGAAGTCCGATTTCCAGGAGTTTAACTATTAGTCTGTCCGGGAGCATCGTATTGAAAGCATATGGCGTAATGGCCCTGCACTTCCAGGTGAGAGATGGTGGTGTGGAGCGTTGTAGCAATAGCATCTTCAGTTGATCTGATAGCTCTGTATGCGAACTGGAGCGGGTCGAGTGTGGGTGGCAGGCAGGACATGATGTGACGTCGGACCAGTTTCTCCAAGCACTTCATTATAACAGGTGCTAGAGCAACTGGTCGGTAGTCGTTGAGGCTGCTAATGTTAGTACGCTTTGGCAGTGTACTAACATTAGCAGCATATTACAGCCATATTTGTGTTATTAAATATAATCCCTGAGTTTCCTGCTGTGACATATCAAAATATCTGCTCGGAATCTATAAATCATTCATGGATGATGCAGATTTATGGGTATCCAGAATGTGACCTTAAAAGGTCTCAATTCATTACTGTAAGAAAATTGGAATTTGAGCTGATGGTCATAGTAACATGTTTTAGAAAAGAAACATAGCAGATGTTCCTTTAAATGTTCTTTTGGCTGATCTCTTTAGGGGTCGCCACTGCAGATAACTGCCTTGATCACCCCCTCTCCCAGCATCCTCTTCTGTCACACCAACCCTTTGCATGTCCTCCTTAACTACATCCATGAACCTCCTCTGAGGTCTTCCTCTTTTCCTCCTGTCTGAGAACTCCATCCTCATCATCCTTTGTCCACTACATTCACTCTCCCTTCTCTGCACATGTCCAAACACTGAGCTGTCCCTCTGATGGATTCATTTCTAATCCTGGCCATCCTGCTCACTCGCAGAGAAGATCTCAGCATCTTCAGCTCAGCCCCCAATTTTTGTCAGTACCCCTTTCTCCAAACCACATGACAGCAAGTCTCACTGCCATCTGGTAAATCTTCCCTTTGACTCTTGCTGCTATCCTCCCCTCATAAACCACCCCGACACTTGTCAGTTCCAGTGCAAAGGTGAATCTCTCAAAATCTGTGCAAAAATAACTGAGATAAAGGTGTGGGTATGCAGGGCTGTTTTAACAAGGCTATGGATGTTTATGTAGGATGGCCTACATAACAGGTTGTAAAGCTGACACTTGCATTTCTCTTGAATAGATTGTAAAGGTGGCTCCTGAGCCAGCAAAGCTCTGTGTATGTGTGTGTGTGTGTTAATATAAACTGTTGGGGAGAGTTACAGCTTAACAGTGTTGCCCTGTGGAAGACACACCTTCCTTTAGGACACAAAACAAGCTTAAATCATTTACTTTAATTATTGGTTATGGTCAAACTTCCTGTTAAAATGGATTTTTTTTCCTTCCCATTGTTGGGAAGTACCTGGTCATTTGATTGTTGGTTTTTCTTTGTATTTTTTTTCTTACATCTTTACAATATAAAGCATCTTGAGGTGACTGTTGTTGCGATTTGACTTTATATAAATAAAACTGAACTGAGAAATTAAAGGGGATATAAGCTGTTAATTGAATTGAGATCATACATAGATCCATTAGGGCACAATGTGCTCTTTATTAAATGAAATTAGTTGTAAGTAGCACATATCATCTTTGATGAATCAGCCGGGTCTCCAAGTAACTGCGATGACACTTGGATTATGAGAAATACCGTGAATTGAGCGTCTTTATCTTTAAAGATACAAATTAACAATCAAGTTCAAACGTGTCACCTTTTACAGCGTCGTCATCCGCGCTGATAACATCTTTCCCATAATTGTCCAATGGAAACTTCCTGCGTCATATCCGGTCAACTGTCACTTCCGGATGCGGTGAAACAGCAGAGAAGTAGGAAAACACCGCATCTGTGTGGATTAATAACGACAGGCAGGGCCGTGTATAAACCGGGAGGACACGCCAGCAGCGTCCAGAATGGGCTCGCGGACAGAAGCGTTCACACCGGGATCTACATTTTAACGGCGCTGTACGTCACAGCGCGAGCCCGCTTTTACCGAGCAGCCGTGTTTGTGTCTTCTTGCTAGCTTAAGCCAGCATAGCGTTAGCTGGGACGCGCAAAAAAACAGCGTCTCTCCGGGAAGCGAGGGGAAGACTTGTACCTACTGTTGGTCTTCACGGTCACTTCTTCGGACAGGGGAACAGGGCACACAGAGGGACATCTCTGTGTTCGTGTATAAAGTTAGTTTCGGTCACTTTGAGGGCAGGACTTTTATTGGAAGCGAGTCTCCCAAACTGAGAAGTCGGGATCTTAAACTAAAACCAGCTGCTGGTGTTTTTATTTAGTTAGCTCTCCAGGACGCGTTTGGAGAGAAAAGCGCGTCGTTTGTCTGTCCCAGCGTATAAAATGAGTGGAATGTGGCGTTCAGGGACTACAAAGGAAAGCCAGCAGACACTTTGTAAATAACACTTCCCTGTCAGCCGGAAGGCTCCAGCTCTTTTTCCTTGTTCAGCTGACAGGGCTGCAGGCAGCGTCCCGAGTTTGAATTCTGGTCAGGTGGAAGAAAGACTTCCTTGTTTGTTTTGTTTCAGCACAGCTCGTTTCTCTTTGACCAGGCTTCAACTCAACAGGTAGGTCTGCTGTTTCACACGGGGGGTCATGTTGGTCCCCGTGTACGTGCATTTATTCTAACTCATGACTTGTAATAAAAACAACGAGCATTAGTCACTGTGGTTTACCTGGAACTCTATAAACATCATTGTGAAGTATAAAGAATATATGATGGGTCTGTGGCTCAAGTCTGTCAAATCATTTAACTCATTTAATATATGGTCCATCACAGCTGCAATATCCCAGGTTGGCGTTCAGATTTCTTAAAAAAACAATAACAACAAACAAAAAAAACAGAAACTTATTCTGTGAATAATTATTGAGCCACATTTAAGGAGATTAAGGCGCTCAAGGTGGCAGACTTTTACAGATTATTATTATTATTGCTGGGTAAAGTTTTTATGATTGACAGTGCATTAACCATCAAAATTACCGTAATATGTTTGAAATGCTTTCTGCCAAAACTGGTGTAGACAAATCTTCATCCCCATTGTCGGCACCCACAGACTAAGGGCCTTGTGCATTAAATTGTAATAAGTGTTTCATTGTGTTAACATTTGCATGATGTGAATTCATTTGCACAGTGATCCTCTTGTCTGTGTTCTTCTTCTCAGTGAAGGATGAATGGCCTCTCTCTCAGTGAGCTCTGCTGCCTGTTCTGTTGCCCGCCTTGCCCGAGCCGCATTGCAGCCAAGCTAGCTTTCCTGCCCCCAGAACCCACGTACACCTTTCTGCCAGACCCAGAGGCGGGCCCTGCTGCACCAGGGGCGACGGGGACATCCAGCCTGCGGGCACGGAGTGGCGCTTCGGTTGCTGGAAGTGGGGGGACCGGGGCCGTAGAAGGGGGATGGAAGCTTCACCTGACGGACCGAGCGGAGTTTCAGTACTCTCAGAGAGAGCTGGACACTACGGAGGTCTTTCTTGCTCGATCCAGCCGAGGGAATCGAGTCGGCTGCATGTACATTCGCTGCGCTCCTAATTCCAGGTAAATGGAATTAGCTGTCAGCTGTGACTGACAGG